TGAATATGTTTTTAATCTATGTGCATTATTATTATATTTTTATTAAGGATGACCGGTAGAAGAATCGAAGTAAAAGATTTGTATAAATTGACTTGAATGCGTCATTTAGCTATAGCGAAAGTCATATGCATTGTTATGTATTGGGTTGGATTGCGAAGACGGAACAATGTGAATCGTGTACTGTCATTGGAGGGAGAAAGGGTAAGGACTATACTATTCGACAGGGTTGTAACTCATGATTCAGGACCTGGTATTGTACGATTGAGCGCGGAAGCATTCGTGGGACATTGTGATATCTTAGTTAGATATGGTGGCCTTCGACCCACAATACGAGTTAGCGTTGAAGAACGGGTAGCAAAAGCCCTATATGTGTTGGTACATGGTGTGACCAATCGGTCGTTACGTTTCTTTTTTGATCGGTCTAAAGAAACAAATAGTCGTCATTTTCATAACGTCTTGAGAGCTATATTAGAAGTGGAAGACAGATTTCTCATACAACCAAATGGATCTGAAGTTCCTGAAGAAATATTCAACAATTCAACTCTTGATACTATCCTTTTTTAAGGTGATTTTTATTTTATTTGAGCAATATATAGCAGTACTACAAGATCAAACTACTCAATTTAATTTACAATGTCAGGATTGTGTTGGAGCTATTGATGGGACACACATTCATGTAAAAGTGTCTCCTAATGAAGCTCCTAGATATCATGGTAGAAAAGATAAACCTATAGTAAATGTTTTGGCTGCATGTTCATTTGATTTGAAATTCACATATGTGTTAGCTGGATGGGAGGGTACGACATCTGACTCTAGAATAATCAAAGATGCATTAATAAGAGAATATCCTCTAAAAGTCCCAGAAGGTATTTAATTATAAAGTATAACTTTGTGTAAGTGTATTATGAGTAATTTGAAATATAAAAATTTATATGATCAATTTATATTGTTTTAGGACAATATTATCTTGTTGATGCCAGATTCATGTTGACACGTTGTCTTATAACACCATATCGAGGATAACATTATCACTTGAAAGAGTACTCACGCCGCAACGCGCCACGAAACGCACAGGAACTATTCAATCTTCGACATGCAGCGTTAAGGAATGCGATTGAGCGTGCCTTCGGTGTACTAAAAATGGTTTGGACTATTATTGCAAGTGAACACCCCCACTATGGGGTTGAAACTCAAAAGGCGATTATTTTAGCATGTTTTATTTTGCACAACTACAAGATGGATGTCGATCCGGATGAGGATGTGATTGCACGAGTTGATGAGGCACTTGAAAATGCCAATCCTCCAGAAGAGCGACATTGTAATGGTGATGGTGAGGACTCCAGTATAGGAGAAGCGATTAGAGATTCCATAGCCGCGTCTATGTGGGCTGATTACAATATGTAAAACATGAATGGTTATGTCCCAAACTATGTGTTTTTGTAATTTTTGTTTTTTGGTTGAACCATTGGATTAACTGCTAGTGTAATAACTTTTGTCATTTTAATTTGAGTTTTTATTTACGAATTATGTTGATTCATATTATAATATATTAGTGTGTTTGTATTTATGAAGAATGGCTCCTAGAAGGAAAACTTTGGATGACAACAGTTCAGGTACAAGCAAGTCCACAAGATCATTAAATTGGTCTAAGCTCATGGATGATGCTCTTATTGATGCATATTTGAATCAAGATACTCTAGGCAATAGAGTGAGTGGAACTTTCACTACACACGCTTATGATAATATCCTTAAGGAACTGAAAGAAAAGTTTCCAGATAAACTGATTGACAAGGATATGATTTAAAATCGGATGAAGAATATCAAAAGGATTTGGTATCCATGTTACGACTTATTCAAATGTGGTGCCGGTGGCTTTGGTTGGAATCCCGCTACGGAAATGTTCACGGCTGAACCTGAAATTTGGCAACACTTGATTGAGGTATATTAAAAGTAAATATTTAAGTTTTGTATGTATGGATATGTTGTTTATGTGAAATATATTTTTTTAGGTGAAACCAGAAGCTGCGGAATGGAAAATAAGCAAATGCGTAACTTTCACAAGTTATGCTTGCTATTTGCGAAAGATAGAGTTGATGGACTTTATGATGAAACTGCACCTGAAATGAGAAAAAGAAAAAATGCTTTTAATGTAGAGAGCGAAGTTTACACATCATTGGATAATATTGATGATTCGGATTCAATACTTTAAAGTGATGTTAATGTGGAAAACCCTTTTACGTCTCAACAAAGTGGACAGAGAAATACAGCTCAAGGGGTCCCTACTCAAAATGAAGAAGAAATTGTGTGGTCTCACTCAATATCTCATGACAAGGCATCCTTGGGGAAAATCCAAGAAGAAGAAGGCTAAAGTTGATGGAGAAGTTGTGCTTTTGTAAGAAGGACTTGATAATGTCGCTCAAGCTATTGCAACTTCAACATCTGAAATCGTTAAAGCGACCACTCTTCCAATCTCAGAAAGTGAAGTTTGGAATTTATTAGTTGATTTAAATATTGCTACTGAGCATCGTAATGTTGCTATATGTTTCTTGTTCAGAAGCCTGATATGATGAGAGCTCTTCTTGGATGTCTAGTTGAAAGCCGGAGCAGTCTTCTTTATGTTGGGTGTGTTTCGAAAAACAAAGAAAATTAATTAATAAAAAATTAATTAAATAAAATTACTAAACGAAAACAGAAAATAGATGAAGCAGAAATAGCCAAAGCTCGTGCTATGCACGATTTCCTTAAAACGTATTCGTTGCCTCTCGGGGTGCTAGAAGCGTTGCAACGGTCGTTTCCCATGATACGATGGCTACGAACAATAGTTTAGCACTCAAACTAAGGTTCCAACGAACGTGAAAAAAAAGTATGAACACTAGGGAATGTTTTCAGAAGCCAGAGGTGCTTTTCAGAGGTGCAAAACATGCATGGAGTGTATGAATTCGTGGTTTTTGCAAAGCACCTGCTAGCCAATTTATAGGGAAGGATTTGGGTGTGTTAATGGCCTGTTTAAGGCATATGAACGTTGGAATCAATGCTTTGAACGTTGGGCATTGATTCCAGCAAAAGACAGTTCATTTCGTGTGCATTAAGGCCATGAACGTTGGGCATTTATGCTGCAATGTTCCAGTTTAGCATGGAGCAAAAATAAAATAGCAACGTGTCGGAAAAACAAACGATATTCGTGTCCGTAGGTCTCCCGCGCACGCAAGTCGCACTTTTTTTTCTCCGGTTTCGGGATTTGATTCGCACCCCCCCTGCGCGTGAGAGAACCTTTCCCTTTAGGAAGCTTAACTCCTTAGAGGGGTTTCCCCTTATAAAGGGTTCAAATTCCCTTGGGTTTTCTGGTGTGGGAAAAAACCACACTAGAAACCCACCATTTTCCGAGTTTTCTCCATTTCAACGAGTGAACTTCAAGAATCAATTTCTCATTCACCCATTATCCGTTTTGAGCGTACCATATATCAAATTGTAGCCCTAAGCAAGGAAAATCCGAAACCACTTTGACCCGACCCAAATTGGAAGTGGACCCCACTCAAAAAAATTGCCCCAAAATGACCATTTAATGCAATTTTAACACATTTTTCCAACACTTTATGACATGATGGCATGAGCTAGCGAATTGACGTTTTATCATTATATTTTTGCATCTAACGTTCAAACAATTTATGCACTTTGAGACTGTATTACTTTTACTTGGTTTGGAACTGTTGTATTGCTATTTGATGATTTGGAACTAATTTTGCTCATATTTTTGGTCCCATATATTTCACATTTTTCGAAGGGTCATAAACTCGTAATTTATAATTGAAATTGAGAGTCCTGACTTTGAAAAATAAATTATACAAGTTGGTGTTGTAGTTTAATGTGTAGTGTTGATCCACACTTTTTAGCACTTTACATAGGATATGATATGTACACAATACATATATCATATGTAGAATATTTTAATTTTAACATATTGCATAAAATATATTTTTAGCAATTTCTTTTTTTACCATTTGACGTGGAAAGTTTTCAAGTTGAACAACAACTACAATTTGATTTGATTGATTAGAGCTAGAACACTAGCATTTTTTTAGCATTTACGTGGAGAATGTATTATTATACGGACTTATGGAGTATATAGACTTATAGCTAATATTAAGACTTGAGGATATTTTTGTCAATGTATGTAAAAACACTTCCATTACTAACACTTCAATTTTTTAGCTCTCCCAAACAAGGTAAGGTTATGTTTAACACTTACACTTACCTTCCTTTCCGGGCCGTTACTAACACTTACTAATACTTCCATTACTAACACCCGCTAACACTCAATCCAAACAAGCCGTTAGACGTTTTCCAAACTAACAGTCTTGCAGACTAATGAGACACCAAATCAATTGGAGAAGACATTTTGCAAATTTGGGAGACACATTTCAATTCTTGGTTTTTCATATGACAAAGAAGTTCTAGAGAACTTGAAGAATGTGGCCCCACAATGATGTTTGAGAATTGAGATTCTTTCCTGTAGCTATGATATGGGAAGAAATGATAAGAACAAAAAGTTGCTTGCATTATTAACAACCCGATTTTTTATTATGTGGACCGAACGGCCGAACCGCATATCGAGCCTTAGCATATGACTATCTTGAGTTCTCCTCTCCGATTTGCTTATCTGTGGCGAGCATACGAGCATGGATATCTTTGCTCTTCATGGAACATGGATTTCTATGATGCTGCCAATACGTAAGAAAGTTTTATAGCTTTTTCACATATTAAAGTTTTCTTATGAACAATGGGTTTTACCCTTTCATTCCAATAATCTAATCCAATTGCTTATCACATGTGAATGCTCTTCGTCGTTGTTATCGTGGGCCTTATCTGTGTACAAAACGTGAAGACCATTCTATGTGGTTAAGATAATGCAATCCTAGTATTTTCTAGGCAAATTGTAATCTTGTTTGTTTTCAGACCTATCTAATTATTTATTTATGATGCAATAAAATTTTGATTATCTATTTGACAATTGTCATATACTATTTCATACCAGATTTAACATCAGCACACTCTTGAAAGTGTTAATATTCTTAACTTGAAAGGTGTTTTAGGCATGATATATGAATGGCGTTGTCATTTCCACCAACATCTTACAGTAAAAAATCATATTTGTATTCTTAAGAATAATATACTTGGTCATAACAGCGGAGGATTCTTATGATTATATCTCTAGGCTTGCTTGAAACGCACATCATTGGATCCACGGGTAAGATTCTCCACCACCTGGTCTTTAATAAGTCTCCTCATGATTTTGCCCGAAGGTGATTTAGGTATGGAATCAACAAATTGCATAACTCTCACACGCTTGTAGTGTGCTACGCAAGATGCAATGTAGTTCATGATGTCCTCTTCAGTATCCTTTGCTCCAGGAGACAAAACCACACATGCAGCAGGAACCTCTCCAGCTTCCTCATCAGGTAACCTGCAATTTATATTTTATTTATTAAATTTATAGGCACCAAACATAGTACTCCGTATTTTCTTTCTTTCTTTTAATTTCCACTGTACCCGACAACAGCAGCATCTTCAACTGAAGGGTGGCTGAGAAGTGTTGCTTCTAACTCGGCAGGAGCTACCTGTAAGTTTAAATCAGCAATCTTGACTACTTGATGAAGGCCGAACCTATTTTTAGGCATTTTTTTAACTACTCCCTTTTGGACACACTATGTTTCATTTTGGAGATTTTTTGGTTCACAATATGTTTTTCTTTATAAATCCAGACACCATTTAATTCTAATTTTCCATTTTTCCTTTCATAAAACCAAGACAACACCTTTCAAAAAAAAACCAAGAGAGCATATTCAATGATAGGAGTAATTTCTCAGGGGAAATATTTTTAAAAATTCCATTTATTGATTCTTTAAATACACAATTTTTCTCCATAGTGACTTATTATGAACTGGAGGTAGTATGAGTTAGCCGTTAGTAGATTTTTTACTTGGAAACCCTTGAACTTGATCAACTCCTTGATGCGGTCCACGATGAAGATATCTCCATCATCATCGATGTAACCAATGTCCCCGGTATGGAGCCAGCTATCCTTATCTATTGTAAGGGCAGTCTCATGCTCGTTGTTGTAGTAACCTGAACAATAGTTTCAGTGATCTGAGCTAAAAGATTTGTTGTTTTATCATAAAAGAATGAAATACAGAGTTATCGTTTCCATCTTTTCACCTTTCATGACACATTGGCTTCTGACACAAAGCTCCCCTGGGGTGTTTCTTGGAAGAGATAGACCAGATTCAGGATCAATGAACTTCACTTCTAGATTAGGAAGAATAAAACCTACTGAATTCTTCTTGGCAATGCCATGACCCAATTTTGGATCTCCATGAGTAAGCGTGATGCAGCTGTGCTCAGTCATGCCATATGCCTGTCAGCAAAAACAGTAGTCATGGCGCAGTTCAGGGAATTTGATATTACTTATGTAATCTTACGTTACCAAAGAAGCCCAATGTCGGAACAGTCTTAAAATATTCCAAAGGAAATCTCACATTACCAAATAAACCCAATGTATGTGATCTCACATTACCTCTCACATTACCAAGGTAAAATGAGATTACCTGGACAAAACACCCCCTTAGAATTATTACATTTTTATGTTGGGTGTATTCAAACATCAGCAGATTTCTTTCTCACCTCTTGGACTTCAACTTCAGGGAATTTCCTCTGGAATTCATTAAGAATTTCAGGTGCTAGGGGGGCAGCGGCCGTCATGATGGATTTGAGTTTGAGCTTGGAAAGATCAAACTCATCTACAACGGGGTTCTTGACCAATCCCAAAATGATGGGTGGCACGATTGGTGCAAAGTTGACTTCATGGTTGATGAGAGCGCCGAGGAACGCTCTCAGTTCATACCGGCGCATGACCACCACTCTCCCCTTGTTTCTCATGGTTGCACAACAAATTCCAACCAATCCATATATGTGGAAAAATGGGATTAGCCCTAGTATAACCACATTCCCTATTATATCTGGTCCTACACTAAAGAGTGAGGAGCAAAGGTTAGCCACCAGATTTCTATGTGTCAGCATCACCCCCTTTGACACACCGGTTGTGCCTGATGAAAAAGGAAGGGCACATAAGTCACTCTGCTTTACCACCTCATCTTCGGAGAGAGTGAGGTCATTGCTCGCACGGTCTGCAGCCTCAAGCAATTCGACCCACTTTATTGTTCCCTGAATATGCTCCTCATCCACTAATATCACTGGAATCCCCAAATCTTTAACCTGTCATTTGTGAAGATAGGAATGTTATTTTAATGTTCTAGGGGTCAGTTTGGATGGAGGGTTTAGAGGAGAAGACTTTGGGGGTGCTTAGTCAATATCTTAACAGAATGTTTTTAAGATCTATTAAAGCGTTTTGAAATGGTATATTATCAAGAAATGGACTCGGTATGGGAATTGGGTCTCGGAGGGGAGGTCTTTAGCCGGTCAACAGGTTAAGTGTATTTTGGAAATGTTTGAGATTTTTAGGAATTGAAGAAATGGTAGAATCTGTGAGACTGTGATAAATGATAATATACAATTCCAATCACCCTTTACTTGTGTTAATGAATATTCTATTTGTCTATCAAGAACAACATCTAAGTCTTAATCTCAAAAGAGTTCGAGGTCTGTTTGTGATCGAAACATCGTATAGTCGCATACATGCATGCATACATAAATACACACACACACATATATATATAGTTATATATTTACACGCTCACACATGTATATAAGTGTGTGTGTACAGACATACTTCATTTATAAAATCTCAAATGTTTATCAAAATATGGACTAAGCCCATCAAAAGCCTCCCAAAATGTCTACCCAAACATAGTCCAAGGGTCAGCTTGGGAATTGCTCTTTGTAGATTTGTAGGGCAGGCTTTGGATGGGCTAAATGTCTATCATGATATATTAGTCTAAGCCCTTCAAAGCATTCATATCCAAAACCCTCCATCTAAATAGATCAAAGGGATGACTAGTTGCCCACACATGGAGAGGACTACATACATGACACTATTTGATTGGCTAGTGTTTTAAATAAGAATGGAGTAATAGTTTTACCAAAACTATTTTAGTTGACCTAAAATGCCTCAGTGTATTTTAGACTGATTACCTATTTTCATTTTATTGATTACATTTCATTGGAACAAGAAGGGTAAAATCTAGGTTGAAATGTTTAATGACCACATTATTTAAAAGTACAAATAATTTTACTGTATAAGTACAAATAAAAAGAAACATGCAAACTAGGTCAATGTCGACAGATAAATAGGAATGAGGTCTCAATTGGCTCCGCATAAAACATCATCTTCTATATGTGTGGGAAGATAATCTTATATTGAAAGTTGAATATATATTACCTTGGGATAAGTTGAAGCATCAGTAACAATAAGCTTTGAGTCAGCCATTTCAACTTGCTTCTTGAGTTCAGAAGCATGGGAAGCTGGGTTGGCACCAGATAAGACACCGCCAGCAGCCATGATTCCCAGTGCAATAATGGCATATTCAGCCACATTTGGCAGGGCAACAACCACCACCCGCCCCTTTCTCAGGCCTAGTGACCTCAACGCCTTTGCGAATCTCTGAATATCCTTTGCAACTTGACCATAAGTGTATGCTTTCCGAGTGGCAGCATCCACAAATGCCACCTTGTCTGTGTAGAGTTCCACATTATGAAGTACGAAGTTGGGCAGCGTCATGTCATCAGGAACTTGGACAGGAGGATATTTGCTCCGGAATATATGGTCTTCCTTTGGTTTCACCATGGTTTCCTGTCCAATGTCAGATCCCATGTTTTTTTATGTTTACCAGGGGGGAATTAGTAGTTTGATGTTACGAGTCAAGGTGATATATATTATAATTTATAGTGGTTTTTTTTAAGTCATGGGTAGGAAAAGGGTAGAAGAAATGCAAAGAGAATGGTGAGATTGTAATGGGCAATGAAACAGGTAGGAATTTGTTGAGTCATTCCATTTCACACCATTTACATGTCAAAGGCTATGTAACTTACCAAATGCTCTTTAATGGCTAAAAATACTATTCTCCGTCTGTATTTGTAAGAATGTTCTCCTTTAAAAGCTCAATTCGCGTTTTTTTTCTTGAAGTCATGCTTCAATAAAAGATGCTTGCTTTCTTTAGATTCAATTTAATATTTTTAAACACGGTATTCAAAACTATATATATCATGCTTATTAATACATATCACATTTCAAAATTGTTATGAAGCTATGGATGAATATTTCAACTTTAATTTTGGTGAAATTGCCAAATTCAATTTCATCTTTAATTTTGGTGAAATTGCCAAATTCAATTTCATCCGAAATACATGTAATAAATAACAACAACTCTAAAATAGAATAAAACATTGCATATTAAAACATTAAAAAATATTCATCATCAAGTATCAATTAATTTTTTTTGAAACAAATTGACTGGATAAAGTCATTTCCATCGAATGAAATTATTCTAATTTTTATATTTTTTTTCTTTCTTATAGTGCACCACTTGTGTAATCACTTTAATCAAGAGATAAAAAAGACAAGAGATTAATGTAATAATTTACTTTTTTCGTTCAATAAGAAATTGATATGTTTTAGGTGTTAATTTACAGGAACCAAAATGCAACATGACGAAAAAGAATTGCATTGAGGACTTAAGAATTGCCCTAAACTTAATCACAAGTGAAAATTTGGGACTCAGAAAGAAACTAGAGTAGGGGAGCCGGTAGGTTCTGCGTCTAAACCAGTGGTAGTCCGGTAAATTGTGGATGTGTCCCGTAGCGGCAATAGCAACATCCCGCGGGGACAAAACCAAAAAGGAAACAAGTCAAAAATATATCTACCCGGTCATATATGTACTGGTTAGCAACACGCTTGACAGTGCTGGCATCAATAGTGTCAAATGTCAATTCTAGCAAACAATTGTGAGAAGCTGTGGAAGAAATGTGTTCAGTTCAGTGTTCTCAGGGAGTATGATCTCATTCAAGAAATGAGTAATTAGAAATTGATTCACAAAATTTACCTGACGACGGCGTGGCGGAGCCAGGAATGACAGGTTACGGGGCCGGGGCTTAAGAATTTATATAGCAGTGGTCAAAGCTTAAATTCTCATTATATTTTTTACTACTTATAAATATTTACACATATGTATATACTTCGCAATTTTTTTCTTGTAGGGGCCAAGGCCACCGCCAGCCTCCCCCTGTCTCCACCCCTGTGACGACCAATATCTTCTGCAATGGTTCCATCCATGTGAAGCATCAAAGTAGATTTAACCTACAAACAGAGCCGGCTTTGGTGGGAGTTACCCTAGGCAATTGCCTAGGGCCTCCACTCCTGAAGGGGTCTCAATTTTTAATTTTCTTTTGTAAAATTATTATATATATACATATATATATATATATATATATATATATATATATATATATAGGGGTTTTGACATGAATATTATTAAAAAAGAGTTAATAGACAAAAAAGTGACCTTATGTTTTAGTTTCCAAAAGCATGGCTATTAAACACCCGGTTCTCTAAATTACCCTTCGTAAGTGGATATCCTATACGCAATTACGCCGTCCTATTGCAATTTGCAAATGCTTACCCGTGCACTACTATTTCTAAATCTGCATCCGTATAATTGGGATAACCTCATGTTGTCATATTGCAAATGCTTACCAATGCATGTAACATTAACATTTTTTAAAAATTAATGTTTCTTTTAATTTTAAAATTACTCCACATTTCTCAAGCTACATATTTTGATAAGGAAACATAAGAGTCTTAAATATTTAAATTATTATATCAAAATTTGTGTACAAATTATCCCAGTTACTACTACTTCAGTGACTAACGCATCGGTTACTACCGCTTCAGTGGCCATCGTCCTAATTAGCAGTTACTATCGCTCCAGTGACCACCGACCCGGTGACCATAGAGGTGTCTAAATATTTAAATTATTACACTAAAGTTTGTCTCGCTCCAGTGAGCACAGTTCCAGTTACTATCGCACCAGTGACCACCGTCTCAGTTACTACCGCTCCAGTGACCACCGTCTCAGCTACTATCACTCAAGTGACCACCGTCGTCCTAGTTATTTCCGCTCCAGTGACCACCGTCTCAGTTACTACCGCACCAGTGACCACCGTCTCAATTACTACCGCACCAGTGACCACCGTCTCAGTTACTATCACTCAAGTGACCACCGTCGTCCTAGTTATTTCTGCTCCAGTGACCACCGTCTCAGTTACTAATATCTCAGTGACTTATGCTGCCAGTTACCGGAGTTGTCAGTGACCACCGCCACCACCGGCAACTACTCGGCCCGTGACAAATACAACACTGTCTCAGTGACAGTTACACATCCGCCATTGACCACATTGACAATGACCACCGAAGATAGTTACATTTATGTGTGGTGTCACTGCCCGCCACCGCCGCATACTCGCCTGGTGACACCCCCTATTGTCCCTGGTCTGGCCTACCCTGCCCTCAACACCCCTATGTTTGCCACTTCACAACCTAGTTAAGACCTCCACCATACCCCTAAGTGACAACACCACCCTCTGTAATTAAGTCTATAACCCAACTACTCATCTGCATCACCGTACCACCCCATATACCACTGTCCAGAGCTATGACACCACCAACCGCGGCTGACCCACCGGAAAATCAACTGTTGACTCCAACCTTTATCACTACCCCCAACAATGGCAAACCCACCATGTGAAGTGAAATCAGTCCTAACAGTGAGCCTAACCCTAAATCCCCAAACCTTAGCCGCCGTCCCTACGCAACCCTAACCACCATCGTAGATCTGAAACTCGAGCCATCATAATTGCTGTGGAATTTTAGGAGCTCCATAAGTGGAAACGTAGCTCCACCACCGCCAATTAGAAAATCAAAACGCCTCCGCCACTTCCATGGTCACCGATCTGAAAGTCTGTGCTGCCGCCGCCATCTCTAACGTCCTTATTTGAAAGTCATCGTCGGAGTTTTTCAATCAAAGAAGAGAGAAGCGACGTAGAAGTAGAAGAAATTAAACAAGAATCGTTTCTTTTCATGGAGCTGTCTTCCCTCATGGAGCCGCCATATGTGTGCCATTGTCGATGAAAAATGGAAAAGCTGTTGTACAAGATGGAAGAAGGCTGGAGAGAAAGAAGCGAGCAGGAGGAGTGGAGAGAAGCGGGTAGGAAAAAGAATGTACCTTGCGGGTTAAACTTGTAAATTAACAGTAAGAATGGTCACGTTTGGGGGAAAACGGATAAGGAGCCCCATTTTTGTCTTTACAATTCTCGGTGGTCATATACGCGTCATTCTTTCATATATATATATATAAATAATTAAATAAATAAGTACTAATGAAATTAATAATGACATAAATGAAAATTAATATGTACTACCTTTGAAAGTTAACTTTTTAAACTAAGTGATTTGTAATGATTTTTTTTTAAAAATAATTACATATTTATGACTAAAATGAAAGTTGTTTACAAAAATGTTACTAGTAATTATAGTACTAACATAATCATAATAACTTATGTTCAATTTTTAAGCTTAGGTGGCCATGACATTGTAGTGTAGTAACTTTAGTCATAATTGTGTAAAAAAGTTTTAATTTAGTAATATTTAGAAAAGACTCTAAATTTTTTAGGCACGTGATCGAATAGGTCTTAATTTATGTTTAAAAATTAATTATAATTGATATTTTCATTAATTAATACAACAGCACCTAAATAATGCTACATAGTTATAAAATTTATCTCTATGTTTTCATTAATTAAAAAGGAAGTGATTTACAATGTACTAAAGTTATTGTAATTGATTATAAAAAGTTCATTTCTATGAAACTAATTGAAACTAATCTTTTTTTAAACTTGAAAGCAATATTGTATTATTTATACTTATCCATGTGTGTTCATTGTTTAGAAATGCAATTTTATATAGACTATAAGCAAATAGGTAATATTTTTTATTGAAGAAAGAGATATTTTAAGTACATATAAAACTATTATCTTCATCCCACAAAAATATGGCCAAATTGACTTTTTGATCAATGATAGTCAATTTTGGATAACTCCAATGACTTTAGTTATTATATTTATGTAAAATTTATAAATTTTCTATTTTTATGAAAGTAATTTTAAGAAAGACTTTTTTCATATTTTTGGATTTTAATAATCCAAAATACTCTACCAGTCTCTCAAAACTTTGCCAAGTTTGACCGGTACAGACAGTAATAAAGTAAAAAATGTGTGGCTGAGGTTGGGGTAAAGGAGAGAGAAATGACTAGAACCACAAATTGACTGATTAAAAGAGAATATGATAAAAAATTTTAGGACTCAAAAAAGTAAATATGACAAAGCTTTAAAAGACAGAGAGAGTATCATGGATCAAGACTATCATTGACTAAGAAATTTCGAAATATTTTCGGCATGACGGAGAATATGTTGTGTAACTATTTTGCTTATTTTTTTGTTCAATTATTGTGGTGCTCTTTTGCCTAGGGCCACAAATTGACTGAGGCCGGCCCTGCCTACAAAACCATAAAACATAAGTGCAATAACAGAAACAAAAAAATCCATACGGAAGTGCCTTCTTAAAAAAGATTCATACTTCTCCAGGGCACAATGCTTCAGTTTCGGTGAAGTGCAGTCAATCTCAACCAAGAAGTGTTCTCAGTTTATTTGTTAGTTTAACTGAACTTATCATTTAATCGAAAAAATTGACTTGAAACTTCTCTTTTTCAGTGAAGAGTTTTTGAACTTCTTTGGGAACTGAGTACTGCTACATAAATAATCTCTCTCACCATTCCTCTGTATGTGTTTCAATAAACCAATAATCAATACCTGGTTACTGGCACGAGTCACATCGGCCTCTGAAACTCTATAGCACAATTTGGTCATATC